ATTTGATAAGTATGAGCTATCCCACGAAGAATCTCCCGCAACAAACGGTCATCCATCCTTTCGAGGATTCTCAAGATGCGGCGATCGTTCTCCACGTATTTGTTTCGCTTCCCTGTGATTTCATGCCCGGCGGTATATCTTTCCAGATCAGCGTCTTTTGTTTTCTGAACGATTCTGATTCCTTCGATGAATTTTAGGAGACCAGGATGCTGAACCTGGAATTGTCGCTGCAGGCTTCGATGCGCTGCTTCAGCGAAGTTGTTCGTTCGAGAATCGCCATTCAAGGTTCTCCTGTAGACAGTCCATATAGACACCGGGAACAAGGGTTCCCGGCGTCCCAAAGATCCATCGCTCCTCACTTGTAGACGTCCGATGTAGTTATCCTCGAAATAATCGAGGATCGTCTGCAGATCATCAGGCAGCTCTTCCCGCAACTCCCTCAGCGCATCTTCAAGACGCTCCGGCGGGATGAAAGCCAGTGCGGAGATCATTTCAGCTTTGAGCGCGAAATCTGCTTCGCTCCGATACCTGCTGCTCAAACCATTGGCAGCGAGTTGCTCTTTCATATTCTGTACGAGATGGAAAAAACACCGTGTATCTCGGCTGTCGGGAAATACGCACTAAAAGCGTTTATCAGAGCTTTTTCGTAGTCCATCGATATGGCTCCCGGATTGAAGTTCGGCCAACCCAAGGTCAACATGTCGAGCATCTTGAATGAGAAATGGAGGGTTCGAGTATTTATTCTAGTACACAATCGACCTTCCCGTGGCCCATACAATGACAATGACCTCCCCGAATGATGAGCGACTCACCTTGCAATACCTCTCTTCAGTTTTACTCGGCTAAGAGAACGTAACATACAGGAGTCACGACCCCAGGGCGCTCTCCGAGGATGACGAGGATCTGGCAGAAAAGTTCTGGTGCCAAACTAAAGGTACCATCAACGTAGATTTTCGATACCTCTCCGATCCAAGCATTCGTGCTCTCTCTCCCGAATATCAGGATCCGGTTTGGATCGTCTGATCCGCTATCTCCGAGGAGAAATCGTTCGAAGTTCCCGGGAGTGCTTTCATACACTTGATACTCTTCCGGAATGACTATTTCCGAGCGGGTTGAGTAATGTGTCGACGGGATTGCGTACCGGTTGCGAGTTCTCTGAACGATTCGCGCCAGGCCCTTATTGCTCTCCATTGCTCCCTGAGCAGCAACCGAAGAGGTGGCCCTGATTCTGCTGATGATTTGCTGGGGAGCTTCGGCTGTGTCAACAGCACGTCGCTTGAGAGCGACCTTCTGCTGGAGCACTTCGATGGCAGCAGCGTTCGGCATATCTGTGTGGATTCCAAGAACCGATATCTCGTCAGAGATGAGACACTTGTGTAAACGAGCAAGGCATTTGCCCGTCCTGCTGTTCTTGAATTGACAACGCCAGAATTCTTTCGTTTTATCTTTGCTGAACTGTGCGAAGACGTATATGTGACCATCATGAGCCAACTTCTCCCTGCCGCGTTGTGATTCTAGAGGAGCTGACATGTTCCTGATAGATTGATGGATTCACTCTTTTTCGAGAGAATGACTGATTGGGTATACAATCGGGAAAACGTTTCAAGATTCCGCAGGCATTCGAAAGAACGCATTCGAAATTTTGTAGCATTCGGAACTCAGACGTATTCCAAACTTGAGAGGATTCAGAAATCGAACGAAAGAGGTGGAATAATAATTTCACTCGGAGACTTTATTGGCTGTCATAATGAACTTCCCCCAGAAATGTATTAAATTTCGTGATATCATATCTCCCATCGCTCACGATCCTCGCCACATCAATAGAGGAAGCATTCGCGTTTCTGCTCGAACGCGCTGCATCTTTGCGCTCAAGTCGAGAATCACTTCCGTCAACGGAGAGTCCCAAATCGAAGTAAGTTTCCTCCCGAACGTGGCTTTCACATGGCATCTGGAGAGAAGGCCCGAGAGCGAGAGCGAGCGAGACAGGGAGAGAAAGGACTTCGATTGATCGCTCCCCTGGAGAAGTTCATCAGCCTCTCGGAGCCCCCGAACTGAGGCCGATCGCGGCCCAGTTGACGCCGTGGCCCAGTTGACGCCGTGGCCCAGTTGACGCCGTGGCCCAGTTGACGCCACGGCCCAGTTGACGCCGCGGCCCAGTTGACGCCGCGGCCCAGTTGACGCCGCGGCCCAGTTGACGCCGCGGCCCAGTTGACGTCGTGGCCCAGTTGACGCCGCGGCCCAGTTGACGCGCTCCGTCGAGGCGGAATGCCATCAATGAAAAACAGGCGACCGGCGGAAACGGAGAGGACGAGAAACAAGAAAATCGAATCTCCTCCGACAAGCTTAAATCTACCTATTCAATCTCTTCATATACATGTTAAGTTGTATGAATGCATGGCTCGAAACTTGCCGCATATCAGTCGTATGCATAATACAATTAATATTAAAGGAGGCTGCGGAAGAGAATTCCGTGAGCAGTCGCTGGGATCCGAGGTGTGGGTCTTCAGATATTTGGATGTAGGGGGAGCAAATTTAGGGGCGAGCTGTTTCCCCTGGTCATCATTAATCAGAATCGTGTCCGAAACATCGCTCTTCATTCCACTCTTCGGAAGCATCATGCGCTCTGTACACAGGCATCGGTGATGACGAAGTTGATTCGGTTGATCTCGGGTGGTTGTGAGACTCAGCGAGCGTGAAGTCTGGGAGCTTCGTTCAAGTACCATCGCTCTGCTTCGGGGACGGTGACTGTTGGTGCCATGAAACCGGCCGCTTCAGTGTCGACTTGCTCGATGGAACCTGTTTTCATGTTTCATCTCAAACGCGTCAACGCCGACTCCACTCTCACCGTTAGCTGCAAGTCGTACATCATGAGGAAAAATAGCGCACGGTGCCACGTCTACGCGAGGATAACCTCAACCGGGGCCGTTCTCAGTGTGACTGGCACCCACAACCACATGCCCGATTCGAGAGGCTTTGCCAAGTTTTCCATTCGGAAAACCGCACGACGAGGGACGCCATGATTAGGGATATTCGGAGAAACCCTGACAGGTTCCCACTGGACGTCGTGATAGATCGCCGCCGCGATCTCGCGATCCAACTCGCTTCTCAAGTTATACCGAGAAAACACCTCCGTCACCTGCGCGATCACGCAATCCAAGTAAGGCCAAAGATAGTCGGGAGTCTCAAAGAGCTACACGATAAGATCGCCTCGGAAAGCATACAGGGTTACACGATAACTCGGGACAACGAGCCTGTCTTGGGCTTCTTCGACCCGCGATTGAAAACGCTGCTATACTTGAAAACGGTGTCAATGCTACACGCTGATGCAACGTGCAAAACGGCTTCACGAAAGATTTGCAAGCAGCTTTTTACGTTGTACGGCAATCGGGATGGTCACGTCGGCTTAATCGCATTCGCCCCCATGAACCAGAGCACCGCAGAGGCGTATGCTTGGGTGTTACAATGTTTGAAGAACTGCGTCGTCGCTAGCCTTGAGATACTCGCATACATGAGGGATCGGGACTCGGCGATGCACGCAGCTATTAACTCAGAAGTCCCCAACGCTACCATCTACGGCTGCTGATTTCGATGTTCGCAGCGCTTGGTCAAGAGAGAAGGTGAAATGGGGCTAGCGACCGGCATCCGTCGCCCTGGCGAAATCCTGTCAAAGTTCTCGCCGTTCTTGTCTCTACCTCTTCTTTTAGCGCCATTAATAGAGGATGCTTTCGAGTACTTCGCTAAGCGTGCTTGGGATACCCACAGCGCATTCCCGGAGCTCCTCAAGTATGTGAAGTCTCTTCGGCTCCAGACAATTGGCCCCGGCAAGCTCTGTGTCTAGCGATAGAGTCAAAGAACTAATAATGACGTTTAAAGTCATAACGCCAAGATAATACGGCAGGTTCGACGCGTTCATGATACGGCCTGGAGTGTCCTTTCAGTCCTCGTGGGCTTATCGCAGGACGCTGCCGTTGATATGCTGAGTCACGATCTAGGTGAGCAAAACTTGCTGCCAGGGCCGGAGCGGGCGACGAAAGATCTCGAGCGTGCGTGGGCCCTCCTAGAGGGAGGCAAGACTGGCGGAGTCCAATTCATTGGCCGCGTAAAATCATAATAGCACGAGTAATTCGCAGATCGGTGCTGCAAAATAACCTGCCCGAAGTTCGAGAGGAAGAACCATTGGCGCAACCTCAAAACGATCGATGCTGCAATGCCGAGAGACGCAATCATGCAGCAATGGCTGGACAAGATGGACGCCCGCTACCTTGAGGAAACCGCGCGTGCCGTCGGCCGATCGAGCCAGCCTGTCGAGGAGAAGGGCTTCAATGCGATGGAAGCGAAAAGCGAGGACAAATCAGATCCCACGCTTACAGCTCCCGGGAGCGATTCAGAAACGGATACCGCTTCGGAAGGTCAGCTTGATAACGAACATCGCGGGGACGCAAGCGCAGCACGATGTTTAGCGTCGTCTGCGTTCATTTCTCTCCGGATCGATCGAAACTCAGATAATTCCCAAAAGGAGCATGCATACGCCAGAAATCTGTCCAAGTCTAATGTGCTCCCTTTGGAAGAGTCTAATCCTCAGATACCTGCCATAAGTGATGAAATGAGTCGATCTGTTCAGGAAGCTCTCCGAAAAGAAGCGAGGATGGTGCTCGTCCGAGTGGACAATCTACCTGTCTATCGTTCAGATTTGGAGACACTATGTAGTCCAAATTGGGTCAACGACACCATAATGAATGTGTTGTGCTCCCAGGCTGGAACAGCCCCCGCCCACAAAGGGCCCTCTCTAACCCCCCTTTCCCGTCCAGTGTGCCTGTCTATGGAATCATTCGGAATAAACAATTCGACTTATCTACCTTTTCAAGAACGGTGTATTCTCTCTAAAACCTAGTGACTTTAATTCTTCATCTCCTAGTGTGTGTGGCCATCAGGACTTCAGCTCTTCACGACACAAGAGGTGGCGACGAGGATAGAACTTGTGCTGGCTGGCCCAACCCAAGAAGAACCCAGAAGGATTTCGTGCGGTAGTGAGTGCTGTGAACTGAAAGAACCACAAACGCAGGAAACAGGAAGAAAGCACCGGAAAATGGCAATGTACTCTGAAGAAGAAGTACAGGAAAGGATCAGAGCCGCTCTGGCGGATTCGACAATGGCATCTACCTCAAAGAGCATAGCAGCGCCAACCCAGGGCTGCTAACATGACTCGATGAAGATTCCAGAATTCAGGTACGACGCAGAGGCGGGCCAGACCTTCAAAACCTGGTTCGACCGGTACCAATCGACAATCGAAGCTGAAAGCAGCTCATTCAGTGACGACGACGAGCGAGCCAGATTCATCGTGGGAAAATTGGGAAAGGAAGAATACAACAAATTCTTCAAAAGACTCCTACGAAGGAAAGTCTGCGACCTTTCAAATACAAAGCTGATTGAGGAGCTTAAGAACACTTTCGACCAGCCGATATCACTTTTCCGCAGACGGCTGAAAGGATTCGAGCCGAATGCACACCACATGGAACTAGAAGACCCGTGGGGCCGCATAAAATCGCAAACTCCAGTTAGCGAAATGGAAACTTGCTCGGTGGACGAAATACAGTGTTTCGTAGCAATCATGAACTTGTGTAACCCAGAACAGGCATTGCTACGTTGGCGAGCCCTGAACATTCTGGACACGAGGCCGGAGACGACCTTCGACGAGCTTCGCGACGACCTGAAAAGGGTGGAAAATATCCGACGCGACGCAACGTCCGTAGGGGCGAAGCCACAAGGAAACATCTAAAAGGTACAGCAAACCCAACCTACCCCACGGCAAAGCCAGAGACAATACACCTGCTACAGGTGCGGTATAACGAACCACGACTGCAACAAGTGCAAATTCAAGAATGAAACGTGCAGAAAGTGCAAAAAGAAAGGGCACCTTGCAAAAGTCTGCAGGGGTGGACGACCTCCGAACTCAGGAGCTCCCAGAAACGCCCGGGTCAACCACATCGGGAAGAACGCGAACAGCAGCCTAATCTTCACAACGGTCCACATCAACGGATGCCCGACGCGTATGGCAATCGACACAGGTGCTGAAGTGACCCTCATAAACCGGAAAACCTACAACTTACTGGGAAAACCGGTTCTCCGACCAGCAGCACAGAAGTTGACCGTAGCGAACGGAACAACGCTCGAAACTGCTGGCATTCTTTCATGCCAAGTCGATCTCGAAGGATCCCAATTCACGGGAGACTGCTACGCACCGGATAACTGCTCCTTACTAGGTCTCGACTGGATGAAGCACGAGAAGAACGGACAAATACTGAACCCGAAGTTAATTTCAAAAAGAATTACTACCGTCCAGGAGAACCAAAGCAACTCAGAAAACTCTGAAACGGGACTTCGGGGCAAAATTCAGAAACGGTTTCCGTCAATCGCAGACGGGAAACTGGGAAAGTGCACCAAGTACGAAGCGAAAATAACGCTCAAAAAGTCATTGACACCAATATTCAAGAAAGCTAGGCCGGTCGCGTGTGCCATCCTGCCAGCAATCG